AATTTTAGGTTGGTATTCCAGAATCTTCCGTCAAACGCTGTGTCCTACAGATCGCCAGTGCCCTGGAGTTTATCCACAGCCATGACTTGGTTCACCGCGACGTCAAACCAGAAAACATTCTGCTCCTAGACAGTCACTGCTGCCAGGTCAAACTGGCCGACTTCGGCCTGGCCCAGAAAAGAGGCACCCTGATCCGATTCATCACAGGCACCCTTCCCTACATGGCCCCGGAACTGTGTTCCATGGTGCTGCCGGAGGGCCAGAAAGAGCTGGATGCACCCCCACTTAGTGTGGAGCCCAGTCTGGATACCTGGGCCTTCGGAGTGGTCATCTTCTGCATCCTGACGGGTTACTTTCCCTGGGAGTGCTGCATGCACACCGACGACTTCTACCTGGAATTTGCCGAATGGTGCGCGACTGAACAAAAACCCCAGGTGGAGGAAGACCTTCCACCTCTGTGGAGACGATTCACTCCAGAGGCTATGGAGATGTTCGCTAAGCTCCTGGATTTGGATGCAGGGAGAAGGTGTACAGTAGGAGAAGTAAAAACATATATGGACAAGGACTGGCTCAAGAAGGTGGACAGCGATAGTCAGCAAGAGGCTAAAGACGACGAGGATGTCTCCTGTGATAACCCTGGGAGTGGTGAGGTGGGGGAGCAGTGAAGTCCTCAGTGACCGACTGACTGATGGTTTGTTTTGTTTAGCAAATGTCGGTGATGACGTTGCATTGTTAGAATATCCTTCTTCTTCTTCTTTGCCTCCTTCTTGCTACCTTCTATGTATTCTATATGTAGGGTCATGTAACTAGCATTGGTGAAGTTACCCCGCTAGGAATGTGCTTATTTTTTTAATTTGAAAAAAAAAAAGATGTGACGGTTTGTGTCTGGTTTGAGGGTTAATAAATTGACACCCAGTTTATCTTTCCGTGCTTTTCGTGTTTCAAATTAATAAAATAAAAATTATAAAAACAATTATAACCATTGAAAAAGGGGTGTGGCCCAGCCATGTAAGACCTGCAATCCTCAGGATCACATGTAGGAATAATTTAATAATTCATTTGGTATCCAGCCAGCCTTAGGTCGTAGGTCGTTTGGTACTGGGCTGCAGTGGGACACAGTGAAAAATGTATTTCAGTTTTACTAATTTACCTCATCATAATCATATCCCTTTACTTTTTTTATTCAAAGATAATCTGTCAATGTTTCAAAATAACAGGTCATTCAGACTGTGATATTGACAGAGTAAAGTCTAAAAGATGTTTTATTTTGAAAATGTAATGATCCTTCAAAGATGTTGTCGTATTGCCGGCCCGCAGTAACGGCTGATACACTACAAAAAAGGTTGAGACAAACTACAAGCTGCTCTAAAACACGCATCGTCGCAGCAGACCAATAATCCATGGAACAAATACAAGAGCTCACTGTAGGATTTCTTCTGTTAATTCCAAGCAATTTAATTAATCAATTCAACAACACAGTGGACAGATGAGGCGTTGACACCTCACCAAGTCTGTTTTTTACTGCCAGGTGTGTTAACTTGTTAATAAAAATATGGAAGTTTTCCCGCACAGTTTACATGACACGTGATTGGTTACGTTTATTTCGATTGAAATGTGCAAATAAAGTCGTGACAACCATTTAACGCTTTGCAAAATCATTTGTTCAGTACTCTGCAGTTTAAAAGAAAAACAACTGACACAACCATGAGTGTATGGAGCTTTGTCCCAGAGGCAATGTCTCTGTCATTGATGTGGAACCCCAGGGTTCACCTACTGGACGGACAACCATGAGTTTATAATGTAACATTTATATGTTTGAATGGCAAACAATCTAACAACAGATATCCTTCCTTCCTTCCTTCCTTCCTTCCTTCCTTCCTTCCTTCCTTCCTTCCTTCCTTCCTTCCTTCCTTCCTTCCTTCCTTCCTTCCTTCCTTCCTT